CTCAAATGGCACGGGGTCGGGATGACCCCTGGGGACTAACCCTGTATATCATTCAAACCATCTTAGCATGACAAACCAGAATATATATGGTTTAGGGGTGGGGATCTCAACCATTTACAAGATAGAACTTTCTTAAATGGCATAGGGTGGGGGTGACCCCTGGGGACTAACCCTGTATTTCATTTGATTTGCTTTATCATTTAGAACATTTTCAATTAAAAAGATTGTGTCTATCACAAACGGTTTTCAATTTATAATCATTTGAAAATTTTAAAAAATAAAATCCCATAGGGTTCTATAGTAAAACCCTCTTTTCTTTTTGCCCCTCAAAGTACCCCTTTATAAACCCCATTGCACAAACAAAACCCTGATTGCACCACTAGACATTTTAGTCTAACATATTGTGAAACCCTAAGTTAATCTGACAAGCGGTTTTGGAGAACGGGTGCGGACAAGTTCAAATTTAAAAGTGGCGGAAGAGGAAGAGGAAGAGGAAGAAGAATAATAATAATAATAACTGAGCAAAAACAATAAGTCTTCCCAAACTTCGTTTGGGAGGCTTAAAGACCAAACAGCCTATTCAGTTCTACCAGTGATTTTTCCTTTAAATTTTGTGTGAAGGTATTTCATGATTTGAGGAACAAAATATGATAAAAAAAATTGGGGGTCACCGACTTAGTTTTGTCACTATAGCAACTTCAGTTTCGTGTTTTCCCGAAAATTAACATGATATTTGCTTGTTATTTAAACTCTCAAAAAATCCCATTATATCAAACCTACAAGCATAATTCTTGTTTCATGTTAAACAGTAGATTTGTGTCTATCAAGTACAGGTTCAAGAGTTTAAGACTCTTATTGTTTTGATCTTAAAAAAATTTGATTTATTTCATTCCCGCCAAAAATAAAACGCAAGAATGAAAAACGTTTCAAGTATTAAAAAATATCTACCAGTGATTTTTGCATAAAAATTTCATGAAGGAATGTGCCATGTGTACTCTTCAAAATAAGGCAAAAAAATGTATATGTCACCGACCTTTCAAAAAAGTTATGATTAATTTTCATGTTTTTTTTTCTCATTTGTTTTGAAGAAAAGAGTTGTCTTTCTTCAGGACATTGAATCTGACGTCATAGTACAAGTTTTCCATGCTGGCGTACTGTTTGAAAAAAAATTGAAAACAACACGTTTAATAATTTCATGCGTCCGAAGTGCTTTCCTGAATTTGTGGGTTTATTTGTCGCGTCAATTTCAGAATTTCGCCATAGCGCACTCTTTCGCTACTGTTGACAGACAGACATTAGCACGGACGGACTTCTTTATACCATTATGTGTCCCGACTAAGACGAGCGTATACAAATTATTCCATCTAGTTTGTGGATTCATTATTTCTGAATATTTAAAATATAAGAAAATTTAAATTATAGGTATAATATATGAATTAAAGTTTTTGATTCTAAAACGTTTTACATCCATTTAACCTATCATAAAAAAATGATACGATCCCCGTTATTACTACCTCACGTGTTTTGAATAAACGATACAGTAAATATAAAATACAAATAAGTTTTTAATTCAAAAATTGATTTAGAATCTAAGAAATAATTTTCCGTTGAAAACTATAAAGTATTTCTCCAAACAGGATGAAATATTATGAATCTAAATAGCTCATTTTGGAAATTAAAACAAAGACAAGGTTGTATGTATAGATTGCCGGCATTGAAAATCGAAATTTGTTTTCAATCTTTCCGGTCATTGTAGCTTTTTGAAAGTGAGAAATTTTATGTTGGATCTTATTCTTGAAGCAATTGTTTTTGTCATAAGTTAAATTTACAACAAGTTTAGTTTTAAAAACCGTAAATTTTTATTTTAATTCACATTCACTGAATATATTAATTTCTTTTATTTTTTGCCTTAAGCTTCTGTGAGATCAGGCGAAATCTTTATCATTTCTCGTTGAGACAATTTGAAATGAAACAAATGACAAAAGACAATAACCTTTATCATTTTTATTTTTACTATAAGATTTTGTCAATTATATAAGCAGCGGTATAGATAAAATATAAATTCATTGCAAGATCACCATTATTTTACGAGAATCTTAAAGAAATAAGTTAATCTCAACATGCATACGTTGCCAGTATATCGAAACTTCTAGAAAGTATTGTTTATCGGCCTAACCTTCTGAAAACTCAGTTTTGAAAATCACATATTAAGTTTAAATTCTAAGCGTAAGTCATATAAATTTACCAGTGTAAAGTTACAAGGGCGTACGAAATTTGCGACGATTTAAAAAAAAAATTCGATCTTTAATTAGCGCCGATTTGATTCTTTCATTATTTTATTTTTTTCATCACTAGCCCGATACTTTATTTGCTATACGAGTAAATACATGTACATGTAGTAAACCTAGAATGTATATTGCATGGTAATATATGGATATAAATAGTGTTCCCTTATGTTTAAGATAATTTTGGTCATATTGTTCGAGAACTTCGTTTTGACACGAGAAAAAAAAGATGGACTTCGTTATTGGCAAGTACAACAAGTATAGAACAGATAAAATGACAAGAAAGGAATATATCAGATGTGTGGCATATAAATTCTAGGCAAGATAATAATTCATTGTACTAGTATTACATTTTTATGGATTTTATTGAGGTGCTTTGAAATGCTGTAAATAGAATTTTACTCCGTGATTTTAGAGGATGTAAACAGAGTGCACAAATATCTTTTAAATTGACTTATCCTGCTCGAAATTCTACTCCCACCTCCCCGTTGTGAGCAGGGAACAACAGTTATATACATGTTATAATTGACAATTCATAACATATGTACAACTGACTAACGGAAGAGGTTTATATGATAAATAAAAAAATAACTTTCTCCTATAATTTACCTGTACACAATCGGCGCAAATGAAAGACAAAATCAGCGCAAGAGAAAGAAAAAGAAGTGAAATGCAGATCGGCGCAAATGCAAAAAGCCGAGTTCAAAATTTATATTTTAATTATTATTTTTATTAGAACGGATGTTACAGATAGTGTAGTATCTTTTGTGTCCATTTGTGTTTAATTTCCACTAGGTATCAGTGCGACGCTTAATTCCACTTTTCTTGGAAGACGTAGTTTTAAGGGCATACGATACAGTTTTGATCCCGTAATGAAATTTTGATGAAAATTTGCATATAGGCTATTTTTTACCTGATTTAATCAAATATGTAATAAAAAATATACCTTCATGTCAAGGCTTCCAAAACAGTCATATATTCCGGACATTTGTATAATGTCCGGTAAAAGTCCGGCTGGGCAAAGCATGAAACGGACATCTACTTTTTAGTTTTCAAGGCTTAAGAGACGGTCATTTTAACATAATTCGCGATCTTTTTGACCCAAACTTTTGTCTTAAACAGCCACACATTTCCGGTCATAAAAGTGACATGATCATTAAGTACTATCAAAACAACCCCTACTTTAATACCTTCTCATTTTAATCAAGGCTAATTAGTTGTCGAACAGCTGAAATTTACCTGTTCAGGTGACAGGTAAACTATTTTGAACCGGACATTGATCGGTCTATTCAAAGTTATTTTCTTACATTTCAGCGGTTTGCATCTAATTAATTTAGTCAAAATGATTTAAATTATCAGAAATACGTTTACAAATATGATTTGATGAAAAAATTAAAAAGGTGAAAATGAAAAATCGTCATAACCACGTTGTTTGAACCAGAGACATGTCTCTGTTTGAACTAGTACACGTGTGCGCATGTGCGCAGGTGTGAAATTTAATTATGCATCCTAATTTCTTCAAAAAATGCTTAAATTGTCATTGATACCTTTATCTCACGTTTATTTCGAATATTTTCTTGAAGAAATAACGTAGAAAGAGCTACTTACACTCATTCATGCTTTGCAAACGTACACGGAATTTACGTATCCGTCTCTGGTCCATGTTTTACCATTGTCAAGATAACATCCGGTTTGATTTAAAAACGAAAGTAAAGTTTTTGACAACGTTATTTTGCACAAATAAAGAGTCTAAGCAGATATAAGTACGCTGATGTTGCACACTTCGAATGATGCACTGCCAATTTAACAGTTTACGTCAGAACTTCGAATTTGAATCAAAGAAAGTTTAATATCGGTTTTTTTTTTAATGTCAATCATTGGGATGGCCAACTCGGCAACTGATTACCATAATTGCCTTTTATTTATTTAGTCTTAAGTGATTAAAATCGGGATAATATATAAAATGTCTGGCTGGCTAAAAATAATTTTGGAAGCCCTGCTTCATGTGTCACTTTTTGAGTAAATTGAGGTCGAAAATTCAGATATTTGTTCAAAATTGGGATTTGTGGACGTATTTTTCCTTTCGATAGATATACATAACTTTTTTATTTTAAAAGATAAACACAAGCTGTTTTTTTTTAATTATTTGTAAATTCTGTTTTATATAAATGTTCTATATATTTGTGCATTTTATATTTTACAAATAACTCATATTTATGAAATGTTCATGAATGTAGAAAAAAACGTCATTTTTTGTTGTATATTTATCAAATTTAAAAAAATTGCAATATTGACTTTTTCATGAAAATTGGTACACATAATCTTCATACGTTATCAAACCAAATGTCATTTTAAAAAAGAGGGGTCCATGAACTCGTTTTCAAGACAAATCAGTTTGAAAGATAAAAAACAGTCGAAAACTGCATCTTTTCCCGGAACGCGAAATAGGACGTTATAATTTTGACGGTTTTTTCATGGCTAGAAACAACGTCATAGAGCTTTTATGTCACTACCAAGTTGCGTTAGTTGATGCGCATCAACAATAGGCTGTTTGGTCTTTAATAAAAGGATTTCAGTGATAAGTCTGGTTCAAAGTCATTTTGTAAAGGCCAGGTATAAGAAATATGACAACTAGATCATGATATGCTGCAAAATTGGATTTTACAGAGCTGAGGAAGATTATTCATATGAAGGAAGGCTGATAAAAATTAGTACCTGTATTTCTTCTGGTTCAGCTGCTTTCTCTACTTTCACTTTCACTTTATCATCAACTTTCACTTTTTCTAGTTTTTCAATATTTTTCAGATGAGGAAGAGGTAGTGGTGCAGGCTGTGACAGTAATGACTCCTAAAAAATAAAACTGGACTGTCTCATTTACAGTTTTTTGGAATAACTGAGTTATTCATTTATTATCTGACCCTTTCTATAAAAAAAATTCTGTCTGATCTTTCATCCAAAAAAAACCTTGTAATCTTTATGCAGTTTAAGGAATTTTGCAAAATAAAAACTGTGACTTGTATACAAATATTGGAGTAATGTTACTCTTAGAATATACTGAATCCTTTTATAAATTCCGTCCAGATAGTCAATAAATTTTTACCTTCCATCTGCAAATAATTGAATGCAAACAAATGTGTTATATTGAATAATGATAAATACATTATAACATTCAAGTTAAAGATCAATTTCAAGAAGAAAGATACTTAGTGTTGACCATTTATAAAATGTGCTATTTATAACTTATGTTACCTTCAATGAAGCTGTATCACCATTTGTTATGACTAATGTGACAGCTTTTTGGCAAGATGGCAAATCACACATTGTAGTAAACCAAGTTTTTATCTTAGGATATAAACCTTCCCAACCTGAAATAAGGTTCTCTCTGATTATTTCTTAATTTATGCAAATATAAATTGCATTGCAGACGAGTTATTAATTGGTATAATTGTATGTATTAAATCTTCTAATCTCAATATTAATGTGATTTTCTACTGAACTAAAATTGTATGATGTGTATATTTCATAATTTAGACTTGTTATTTTTTTCAATTAATATAGTTGAGTTTAATCATCCACTTATCAAAATTGTAAAAGGAAACTGTACATTTTGGGCCTTTTATGACCCTGGGAATAATAACACAATTTGACTGTGACATCATATTTCAGATTCCCCAGTCCTTTACAAAACTAACAAGTTGAGGTAAAATGTTATACCTGAATTAGAATTTAGCATGTGTATACCACAACATGTTGTTGCCAGAAAATGATAAACACAAATACAATTTATGTGTGAATATTTTTTTGGATGATGGCTATACTCTTATATCATTTCTCAATAGATACAAGTCAGACTGTTAAAAAAATTTATATATTTTTTGGAGTTTTAGTAATTTACTGCCATATTGTGGCTGTGTAACCCACTAAAAGAAAATATTTCAAATCAAAACTGCAATGTTTAATTATACATACAGATTTAACATTTCATTCTGCAATTATGATAACTTCTAAATTAATTTCATTTTATGGTCAATTTGATCCCAAATCATACCTTCTCCTTTTTACAAGACAATATAACAGAAAAAAAACTTGTTTTCTGTAAAATTGAGATATGACAGTGACAGACATAGAAGAATAATCAACATAGTCTAAGGGAAGTAACTCCTACCTTTTAACACAAATTTTCCAGCAAGAAGTGGGTACAGTGAACCCCAAAGAACAAAATCTGCAGCTGTAAGACCAATCTGTAACAAATACAATATTCATAATACATTGTTTGCATGTTTAATAAAATACATACAATCAAAACAATAAATGTAATCTACAATAAAACTTTATATAAAGTTTAAATACCTATAATACTATTAATATGTCTTCACATACCACAAAGAAATAAAATCTAACTTTGCATGATCTTTTAGTAAAAATGCATTATCAAACACCAACTGCATTTTTCAAAAACAGCTAGAAGCGAGAAACAGAAAACAAGATTCTGTCATACCGGACAATATTAAAAAATAAAATGCTTCGCTGGGGCGCAGCTTGATACGACCGCAGAGGTCGAACCCTGAACAGTTGGGGCAAGTATGGACACAACATTCAAGCTTGATACAGCTCTGAATTTGGATTGTTATTAAATATTTGACACAGCATAGGTTTCTGACACAGAAAGAATGTGGTCTAAGAACTTGAATTTTTTTAATTTACCTATTATGGTCCAATGTCCAAAATCAAAATACATGGTTAGATTCAGCATATCAAAGAACCCCATATTTTCAATTTTTGTTGAAATCAAACAAAGTTTAATTTTGGACCCCAACTTGGACAAACTTGAAAACTGGGCCCATAATCAAAAATCTAAACACATGTTTAGATTCAGCATATCAAAGAACCCCAATAATTCAATTTTTGCTAAAATCAAATTAAGTTTAATTTTGGATCCTTTGGACCTTAATGTAGACCAATTTAAAAAACGGGACTTAAAATTAAAAATCTAAATACTGTAAATTCGGAAATTATTGCGAGGTTTTTATTAATGCGAAAAATGCGACTTGGTGAGTATCGCAATAATAAGAACTCGCATTCTGATAACTGAAACATAGATTGGTAAGCAGATTTTTTCGAAATCGCAATAATTAAACTCGCATTTTTGTCCATGCTTGAAAAATCGCAATAATAAATGCACGCAATAATTTCTGAATTTACAGTACAGTTAGATTTGGAATATCAAAGAACCCCAATAATTCAATTTTTGATGAAATCAAACAAAGTTTAATTTTGGACCCTTCTGACCTCAATATGAACCAATTTGATAGCGGGGCCCACAAATAAAAAATCTAAATTCATGGTTAGATTCAGCATATCAAAGAACCCCATATATTCAATTTTTGTTGAAATCAAAAAAAGTTTAATTTTGGACCCCAACTTGGACCAACTTGAAAACTGGGCCCATAATCAAAAATCTAAACACATGTTTAGATTTAGCATATCAAAGAACCCTAAGAATTCAATTTTTGTTAAAATCAAACTAAGTTTAATTTTGGACCCTTTGGACCTCAATGAAGACCAATTTTAAAAAATGGGACCCAAATTAAAAATCTAAAAACACGGTTAGATTTGGCATATCAAAGAACCCCAATTATTCAATTTTTGATGAAATCAAACAAAGTTTAATTTTAGACCCTTTTGACCTCAATATGAACCAATTTGATAGTGGGGCCCACAAATAAAAAATCTAAATACATGGTTAGATTCAGCATATCAAAGAACCTCATATATTCAATTTTTGTTGAAATCAAACAAAGTTTAATTTTGGACCCCAATTTGGACCAACTTGAAAACTGGGCCCATAATCAAAAATCTAAATACATGTTTGGATTCAGCATATCAAAGAACCCCATATATTCAATTTTTGTTGAAATCAAACAAAGTTTAAATACTGGACCCTATCTTGGACCAACTTGAAAACTGGGCCCATAATCAAAAATCTAAACACATGTTTAGATTCAGCATATCAAAGAACCCCAAGAATTCAATTTTTGTTAAAATCAAACTAAGTTTAATTTTGGACCCTTTGGACCTTAATGTAGACCAATTTAAAAAACAGGACCCAAAATTAAAAATCTAAATACACGGTTAGATTTGGAATATCAAAGAACCCCAATAATTCAATTTTAGATGAAATCAAACAAAGTTTAATTTTGGACCCTTTTGACCTCAATATGAACCAATTTGATAACGGGATCCACAAATAAAAAATTTAAATACATGGTTAGATTCAGCATATCAAAGAACCCCATATATTCAATTTTTGTTGAAATCAAACAAAGTTTAATTTTGAACCCCAATTTGGACCAACTTGAAAACTGGGCCAAAAATCAAAAATCTAAATACATGTTTAGATTCAGCATATCAAAGAACCTCATGTATTCAATTTTTGCTAAAATCAAACAAAGTTTAATTTTGGACCCTTTGGACCTTAATGTAGACCAATTTGAAAACTGGACCCAAAACAGGGCTTCCAAAACGGTCATATATTCCGGACTTGACCGAAACTTTCATAAAAATACCGGCTGCTCTCAGCCTCACACGGTCAAATAGAATTGGTGTGCCACATTTTGTTATTCAAGGCATTTTCATGAAACGGTCATTTCAATTTTTACCAACTATCGATCGATAAAAATGTCCGTTTGGGGCTTTGGGCATGTCCGTTTGGGCATTTTAGTTTATAATTGTGGCAATCTATTTCACAAAGATATTTTGGTCATAATTGGGTTTAATAAAACAGAAGCAGCATATTTCAGATACTTTGAAGTGTCTCAGTTAGTCTAATCCTCTGGGTACATAAATGTACGGCTTGGTCTTTAGCTTGTGTACATCAATAAAAAGTAGAAAAAACACGTTTTCTTTTATTTAAATAACAACAAGCTGTCAAACAATTATCCCTTCAATAAGTTATATTGAAGCCATAAATCATTCACTGATTACAGGTTTGTTACCTTTGATGAGGTGTCCTTAGCTTATCTTTATCAATAGAATTAATGATGCATAACAATGTACATAAAGGTAATCCGGTAAACGAGGTCAAACATGTAAGCGTGTATGGAACAACATCCTATTTAATTACGCTTTATAGATATTATTTTAAATGAGCATTCAGTTTTAAAAGTATCCTGATATTTAAAAGTTATTCTTCAAATAAGGATATTTATAAATGAATAAGTATGATATATATTATTTTATTTAACACTGTACATCGTGTTAAATACTGGGGTACTCTCAAGGGGAAAATTTACTAAAATATATAGGAAAAACCAATGGACAAATTTCAGTCAATAAATGATTTAACTAAGTTAAATGGTGCCGTGATCACTTCTAAATTATATCAAGAGAACAATGCCTGCTCCGAATTTATTCAGACAATTTCCGATGTTATAGAGAAAGAGGTGATGTCCGACGTAAAGTTAAGTCCCGCCGTGGGAATTATGATCGACTAAGGTGTAGTCTAGGTATTGACGCTTTAGATCAACTTATGAGGATAAGCTTAGTAGGTGTAGATGTTAAAGACTTTGACCCTGTTCCTGCTATCCGCAAATGGCAATCCGTTCGTAACCGCCATGTTTATCAGAACAATGCATTTAGCAAGCTCATGAATGTAAAATCTTTAATTAGACTAAATGAACTCTAATCTTGTGCTGTGATCTGTGCTTCTTTTCAATGTGCTCATTGTAATATTTATTGCGTGTGTTTGTCAGCATTGTGCTCTTCTGACATTTTATTGTTGTTATATGCTTACATAAAATATCATGTTGTTATTCATTAAATTATTTATCAACTGAGTATGTTTTTATTTATTCCTTATTTTCTAAATCAGGTTGGGAAATTGTACAAAGAAAAATGTTATCACTGTTCAGTAGATTTTACACGGTTTAAAACAATATCCTTCATCGGGCCTCCTCAATGTTGTCTATAAATACCGCATCAGTTGTAAAAGTCACGTGGTCAGGTAATCAATACACAAAAAGAAAAGTATCACGTGTATTGATGATCAAGTTGTACTGCAATTAAAGCCAACATCAACAGTTTCAAATAAGATGGCCTTAATTTACAAAGTGTTAAGTACTCACAGAGAGAAGATAGATTATATAAACAGAAACAAAAACATGAGAACAGTCAGGTACTGAAGCTGATTGATGCAATGATGGTTACTGTATTACGATACACAGAAAAATGACACAATACCGAGGATAATATTTTATTTATTTTTAGAATGAAGAAAACAAAACAGTTATAAATAATTTTATTGCATATAACACTACTAATTATTTAGACACATATATCAATTTATGCATCCTCTCAGTTACATTTAAGTATCCAGCTGATCATTGACCGTCAAAAATATTTCTTTGAAAAATGTCCGGCTGTCGTCAGGAAATTTTGGAAGCCCTGACCCAAAATTAAAAATCTAAATACACTGTTAGATTCGGCATAACAAATAAATAAATGTGATCAAAGATTTTACAAATCTAATGCGCCATACTGTGCAATTAAAGATTACTTCTTGAAATTTTTCAATATTTGAAATTTGAAAAAAAAAAAAAATATTTGAAGAATAATTCTTTTTAATTTCTGAAATCTGAAATGAGAAAAAATTGACCCCCAACAATTTCTTTTTATCCCCCCCCCCCCTTTTTTCCCCAAAAAAATTCTTTCCCTCAAGATATGGTCATAATCTCAATTCAAATTTCCAATGGAGTTGGCAACCATAATTACCCATTTAAATTTACCATAGTGCTAACTTAATCTATTTTATAATAGAATTAAAAATATAGTGTCAAATCTTTCATATGGATTTTTTTGTAAAAAAAAAAGATGCAACATTTGCAGATATTTTTACTGGTCTTCCTTTATAAATATGTATTTCTTTAAACATAATTTAAAAGCAGTGTAAGGGAAGTAACCAAAACGTTGTATTTGGATTACCTCCCTTACACTGTTTTAAATTATCTTTATTGTTCATTAACCATTACTTTATACATAATTTAAAAGCAGTGTAAGGGAGATAATTTCAATGATGTATTTGATTTATCTCCCTTACACTGCTTTAAATTATGTTTTGTACTAAAGTATTTGTCCATTAACCAGGACAACCTTGTTTTTCCCCCTTTTTTGCCCCTAATTCCTAAACAGTTTGAGCCATAACCCCCCAAAGCAAATCCTAACCATCCCTTTGTGGTATGGAAACTTGTAGTATAATTTCAGAGAGATCCATACACCGTTCCACAGTTATTGTCTGGAAACTAGAAAATGCTTATTTTTGGCCCCTTTTTGGCCCCTAATTCCTTAACTGTTGGTACCATAACCCCCAAAATCAATCCCAACCTTCCTTTTGTGGTATTTAACCTTATGGTCAAATTTCAAAAAGATCCATTCACTTAAACTAAAGTTAGAGTGCGAAAACCAATGTGTCTTCGGACGACGACGCCGGACGACGACAACGACGACGACGACGACGCCAACGTCATACCAATATACAACCACAAAATTTTTTTGCTGTCGTATAAAAATCTATAAAAACTTTTTCACCAATAAATAATTTTCCTAAGATACTTACCTCTGCCAGAAATTTCTTGCCTTTTAATTCTCCATTCAATGATTTCAGTAGCGTTTGTATATGTATTAGTAATCCAGTCTCTGGTTTCCCTGAGCCAATAACACTCACAAGGTATGGATATAAAACTGGCTGCAAAAAGTAAATGGTCTTATATGATTTTTTTTTTTATAAAGGATTAGTAAGAACTTTTTTTTTATAGTTTTTTGGGCTTTTAGGCTCTTTTATGCCAAAGACAATTTGAAGTTTTGAGAACTACACTAATTATCCAATAAAACAGGGTTTTGCATAAAATTGAGAAACATGTTTCCATCCACATGGTTTCGGCTTGAAGCGTTCACTCATTTTTAATGTGATAATGTGTATATAATTTATCATGTTTATATTAAAGAAGGACCCACCAGAATAAGATTTCAAGAGTTTACATTATTCAATGAGCACTAGTATAATGTAATATGCTGTATTTAATTACTTTGCATTTAGTGCATTCAGTCTTAAACTTTTTAGAGGGTGTACATGTATCTTCTAGTAATTAATTACTTGATTTTCAGTAAAACTTGTTTAATACAAATCATGTCATTATTTTTACAATAGATATTAAGAGTGTTATCAAACTCTTAACTTGCCACTGGATGTAACACTAACAACAATCAATCAATCAAAACATATTTCCTGTGAAAAATGGGGCTGATTTTTACCCTTATTGCCTCATCCTTTTTCATTGGCAGTTTTAATTATAATTCTGTTAAACACTTGTCACTTACTATGCAACAACATGACAGGTGCCACATGTGGAGTAGGATCAGCTTACCTTGCCGGACATATGAGATCACCCCTGGTTTTAGATGGGATTCATGTTGCTCAGTCTTGAATTTTCTATGTTGTGTTTTGTGTACTGTTGTTAGTCTTTATGTCGTTTTTTTGTTTTTAGCCATGGCATTGTCTGTTTGTTTTCGACTTATGAGTTTGAATATCTCTTTGGTATCTTTTGCCTCCCTTGTCAAGTTTGAACCATGAAGACTTCATCCTGACCTACCTACCTGTAGCTGTGAACTCTCCCACTCTAACCATCTATCTACATCAGCATCAGTTTCTTCTGCTTTTTTATTTGAAATATATCTAAAATTAAATATCAAGTCATTGATAAACAAATATTAGTTTATAAATTTATAATTTGATGGCAGACGTTCCATTTTATAAATATATTTTATTTAAAATGTATAACCAAATTGTCCCGAGTCTGGACCAATTGTGAATAAATAATACATGTATATAGGTAAATCGGATTTAACTAGAGACCAGTGTTCTTGCCTTGCTTACAAGAACCTGACAACACTTTGTTCAGTTTTCTGTTCTGATAATTGTTACTTCAACCAAATTTACTCTACACTCTACAGACAGAAAGGATCTTTTGTATAAATGACAGCCAGCTACATGTACATGTACAAATGCTTGTGTCATAGTTGCAAATGTTAGTTTTAGATTTTATTTTAAAATGGTCCACGACTTCAATACTTTCAGCCATTACTGTAAATGCTTTCTACAAGATTGTGCAAGTGAATATTTTAATGTAAAAATTTAACTTTGATCACTTTATTCTTCGGAATTTTGTTTGCCTGTTTTAAAAAATTACAATGCTGGAAGTTCGACATGAATGATATTCACATTAACCAAACAGGATTCAAAATGCCTTTACAATGTACAGCAAAGACAAGATAAAGTATATGTATGTATCACATTCAAGCTTTTAAGTTGGGGCCTTTAATAGCCGACTATATGGTATGGGTTTTTTCTCATTGTTGAAGGCTGTAGAGCTGCCTGTAATTGCTTACATCCACTTCATTTGAACTTTGGTGGATAGTTAGTCTCATTGGCAATCATAACACATCTCCTTATTTTTATATTAGTTCTTCTATTCAATCAGATTTCAAAGCATTGCATTTACAAATTGAACTAATCATTGACTAACCTAGTTGCAGAATTTGGAGAAAATAAGAACTTTCCAGGGAACACTTCTAACACTGGTAACACATTTGCAGTCAGGTAAGGAACTACTTTTTCTGAAAAAAAAGTTCTTGTAATAATGCTTTTTAAGTCTAGATATCAGTGTAGATTTTATGATTTTATCAAAAAAGTATAGTTAAAAATTCACAGCCTATAAATGATATACTATTATTCTGGCTAATTTCACAAATAAACAAAAAATGTATTAAAATCTACTGGTAATCAAGCAAATGCAATACAATATGTGGTACATAAGAGACATTGGGTGGAATTACACGTATTTGGAATAAACATTCCATTGTGATGGAGACCTACTGAATTTTCAATTAAAATTAAAAATGGCCCATTTGGAACAAAGTCAAATAAAGCTGTAACCTCTTTTGAATGACTATATATCAATTATGTAATTGATTGATTCAGACTTTACCAAAAAAAGTGAGGAAAATGGAATGTTATAAAAGCCTCAACTTCCCAAAAAAAGCATTAGTCAAAAATGCAGAAAAACTGTTATTTTCACAGAATTTACCCTGTCTAAGGGCCACAACTCTATCAAAACTTGCTTAATAGGACTGAAAATTAAATTCAATCTATTACTTCCCTTGATATGACTAAATACAAAATATCTCATTAATAAATTGAAGCATATCAGAAAAAAGTGAGGAAAACTTAGGTGTGACCGACAAACAGACAGAAAACAGAGTGCATTACTGTAGTGCCCTTCAGCTTTGCAAATAGGGGACTATTCGATGTCTCAAGTCTACTTTTGACAAAATTTGTCAACTTTTATCTATTCCTTTGCGAAAGTAAACTTGAAGATAAAAAATTCTATCTTTTTTCAATCTGAAATTAATACCCTATTCTAGAACATAAATGTACATTTTTATATCATACAATTTTGTGTTCTATCCAAATTAAAGAAATGATTAACCACAAAAATAACTGTAAAACATTATAGCCTGCAACATTTTGCATGCATCTTATCTTTAATTTAACATATACCATGGATTTATTATTATTCGTGAGGTACCAATTTTTTGTTGATTTTTTTGGGTGTAGGCCTAGGAAAACCATGAATTTAACTGTCGACGAAGTAAAAATTTTCTATAGGCTTGTATACAAACTTTTGAAAACCACTAAATGATCAAATATCCCAAACTTACAATTGTTAAGAACTCAATCAACAAAGTTAATACCCACGAAAAATAAATGAATCCACAGCGAGTATTATTTCCATAAAAGTACTTTCATTTATTTTATGGTAAAAAGTATACAGCTAGTATAAATAAAGTATAAAATAGACTCTCAATTAAATTTCACTTACCAGGACATGTTTCCTTTACAAATTAAAAGACTGATCATTTCATAGTAATGTACATGTACATCAATTTAAAACACCTTACAAAATTGTAAATAATGAAATTACATGAAGAGCATGACAGAATTTTTATTTCATCATCAATGTGTTAAAATGGATTTAGCAACATATGAAACTGTAATTGAACATGATTTCATCACATTTAAGGTAATAGACATGAAAGGGTTTTTAACAAATGTAACATGAAATTAACACACTTAAGTGACATACATACAACCATGAACAAGTATAACATACATGACGTATATAGTCATTTATATATATCTAAAAATAAGGAGATGATGTATGATTGTCATATCCACCAAAGTTCAATAAAGTGAATGTAAGCAATTATAGGCAACTGTACTGCCTTCAACAATGAGAAAAATGCATATCGTATTGTCAGCTATAAAAGGCCCAGACATGAAAAATATGAAACAATTCTATTGAAAAAATATATATGAGCAAGTCCATGTGAAAAGGTGCAAAAAGTCCTTTTGATAAACTTTACAGGACACCTTGTTAAAGTTCGTTAAAATATTTTTGAAAAACGATTTTATCTGAAAAAAATTATATTAATGCAAACATTCAAAAAATTGTCAATTTTGTTCCGAATTTGTCAATTAAAACAGAAAAAGATGTAGAAATAACTGAATTTTTGTACTTAAGCAAGAGTAAAATCATTTATTTAGACGGAAAAAAAATGTGGAAAATTGATTATTTGAGTGAATTTTCTAAGTCCAAGGATCATAACTCTGTACAAAATCATTAGACCTGACCAAAATTCGAACTTGATCTGTAACATGTCATGATAAAACTATATACCAATCATCAAATCAATATCTTCAAGCATGACAAAAAAAAGTGAGGAAAACTGATTATTTGAGTGAATTTTCTAAGTCCAAGGATCATAACTCTGTACAAAATCATTATACCGGACCAAAATTCGAACTTGATCTGTAACATGTCATGATAAAACTATATTCCAATCATCAAATCAATATCTTCAAGCATGACAAAAAAAAGTGTGGAAAACTGATTATTTGAGTGAATTTTTTAAGTTCAAGGACCACAACTCTGCAAAAAAAATGGTCAGACCGGAACAAAATTCGAACTTGATCTGTAACTTGTCGTGATAAAACTATATACCAATTATCATATCAATATCTTCAAGCATGACAAAAAAAAAGTGAGGAAAACTGATTATTTGAGTGAATTTTTTAAGTCCAAGGATCATAACTCTGTACAAAATCATTAGACAGGACCAAAATTCGAACTTGATCTGTAATATGTCATGATAAAACTATATACCAATCATCAAATCAATATCTTCAAGCATGACAAAAAAAAGTGTGGAAAACTGATTATTTGAGTGAATTTTTTAAGTTCAAGGACCACAACTCTGCAAAAAAAATGGTCAGACCGGAACAAAATTCGAACTTGATCTGTAACTTGTCCTGATAAAACAATACACCAAATATCAAATCAATATCTTCAAGCACAAAGAAAAAAATGTAGAAAACTGATTTGCCGGACTGACGACAGACAGACAGACAGACAGGCAGACAGACAGAGACAGACGGAGGAAGGACAAACGGATGGACAGACAAATGGACGGACGGACATACGGACCATAAGTTTGGAATAGCATATTATACATTTGTACCTATACATAAATTTTCATTGCAATCCTTGAATTGAAGAAGTTTCTCAAAATTTGTGATTTTCTAACAAAAAGAAAGTTTAAATATTTTAACTGCAATTTTCCCCCGCACAGAAAATTTCAATTCTTGACAACAGGAATCAATTTGGAGTACAATGATATACCAATGAATCAGTTTTTCTTGAAATCCTGGCTTTGGGTAAAAATTGTCATTCAGGGGCAATAACTCCTAAAAGGAGTCAGTTAACAATTTCAGCCATGTTGACTTATTTGTATATCTTATTATGCTCAAGATCTTTGCTATGTATAATTTCTATCTATAATGGTTTCTGCAAAAAAATGAAAACATTAATGAAAATCATTCTTCAAGGACAATAACTCCTATAAGTGGTCAATTGACATTTTGGCCAAGTTGACTTCATTGTAGACCTTATTTTGCTGAACACTTTTGCTTATTACAGATTCTCTCTATTATAGGTTCTGCAAAGAACGCAACAAATCAGTAAGTCTCTCAAGGGCAATAACTCCTACGAAGGGTAAATTGACAATTCATATATGTAAACTTACTGGTAGCGCATTGTTTCTATTGAAACATTTTTTTCTCTGTCAACTAAAGTTTTAAAAAAATGCAAAAAAGGGTCAAAATCATCATTTAAAGCCAATAACTCCTATCAATGCTAATAAGGGTCATTTGAGGACATAGTGAAAACTGCATGTATAGGGCTCCCACATTCTAGATGCGAGGACCAAATAATAAATGAAAAGACTTTTTTTTAATATTAATTTTTGCAATGACTCAAGTACAATACATTGCACATCTGCCAAACTTCAATGAAAACACATGAAGTTTTAGATTGATTGATTGTTGGTTGCTTAACATCCAGTGGCAAATATTTCATGCATGTTCAGGACGAGTAAAAAATTTTAGAAAAGAGTAGGAACCATTGAACACAAGTTGAATAAATTGACACATCTCACATGTCTTCACAACGACAAATTAGGAATTAATGGGTTTCAGACAAATGTGTTAAGTTGTTGACTGCTAATGAATCTGGCTGATGAACCATCTTTAAAAGTACTGTTTTTCATTAACAATCTTATCAAACAGAAGTTTTCCTTTTCAACTAAATGGTTGTTTGTCTGTAATTGTTTAAGTGAATCAACACCTGAAGTGATGATCGTGCCGTAGGGTAAAATAAATAGCTTTAATAGACGACATGTTTCACCAGCAAGCATGGCATCTTCAGGACAAGTATATATATGAAATAAAACAGTGAAGTACAAATTTTGCTGTTACTGCTGTTAACCAGAAGTAATGTTACAATAATGCTTGTTATGACAAAGTTATCAACAAAAAGAGAAAGTGATTGTGAAATAAAAATTGTAAAGCTGATTAGAAAGTGAAAGTTAGTCAACAAAGTTCACACACGTCTGTCTACAGTCTCATTGGAGGTCCTTGCGGTATTATTATATAAAGATGATGAAAATGGATGATGCTAAGCCAGTTGAATTGGTACGGAATTACCAGTGAGGTGTTGTCCATTTGGGAAATTAAACCAAACATTTTATCATCCATTTTCATCATCTCTTGTTGTCTTTAATGTCGATAAATGGTTGTTTGAAAAATCTGATTGAAAATTTATTTGCTGCAACTCATATAAAACCTTCTTCTGTAATGAAAAAGGTAAATATGCTAGATTTACTTACTGGAGGTGTGAAGAGTAGATTGAAGCTGTAAATTTTCTCCTTGTCAACATTTATGTATATTTTGGCAATAAAGTTTATTGACAGGTTGTAGGTATTCCTATGGGCACCAATTGAACCCATTTAATAGCAGAACTTATTCCTGTACTGTTATAATGAATCACGGTTTATGGCCAAACTCATTAAAGACCCATCTTAATTCCATTTAATTGATAAATTCAACAACACTTTAATACCATTATCTTTATAATATTTTTTCGTTAATTAATCAGGAAATCTAAACATATGCTGCAAATATTTACTCAAAGGAACTTACTTTAAACAAATCAAATATACCGGGTGTAAACAGCAATAACTGTCCTTTCCTAGATAAAAATATTTTGGTTTTACAGTAACTCTTCAAAAAAGTTTACGACAAAAGGGAAGATTTTTCTTTCTCTTAGTTAATTTTCCTTTTTCGGACATTTATGTAGTACCTTTGGCACCATCTTATAGTGCTTATATATATATCCCAACTTGTTCACTATGTACATGTCTGTACATGTAGCAGTGATGTTTTAGATTTGTAGAGAAATGTCACAATAAAATTTAAACACAAGTGAACCAACGCCTGGTAAATCTTCTGTCAGTAGATTCCATAAAGTGGATACAGGGTCGTTACGATAAAAACATAAAATGTAGAAGGTCCAGTAACAACAACACTATAAGGAATGCTCCAGTAATTTAATGAAATCGACATGTTTCGGTGGCTAGGCCACCGTCATCAGGATAGAAAACAATACATAAAATCATGCTGAGGTACAAAATCGGATTGAGAAAATTAAAACGTCACAATGTTGCTATGGTGAGTAACGTTATAAATAGCAATTGAAAGAGAAAGTGAAAGTAAGTATATATGGAAGTGAACTATTAAAATAAAATAAAATAAAATAAAAATACAATGTTTTTGTTGTTAAAATGTTTGTTAAAATTATTCTGCCATCATGTGTTAGCACTCTTGCACAGTGGAACGAATTATACAATACATTATTGTCAGTTGTGTTCTGTGTAAACTTTGTGTTCAATTAACGTCTTTATTTCCAAATACAGACGGCATTTTACTGGCAATTCCGTACCATTTCGACTGGCTTCCCTTGGCCAGAGGTACTACTCCCAATCGTGTCCGGAATGCTGTAAAGTGTTTGACCGCCAAAGGTATAGGGAAAATTAAATAAAATATCGCTAGTCTATGCTGAATATAAATGCTGTGTTCCTTCATTAAACTATCGGAAGTGGCTGGTATTCTTGTAATCTGGTAAAGTTGGTAGTATGTTTGATTGACATATTTTCTGGAACTTCAAAGTGAATTTCATAATAAGAAGTCTGGTGGATATAATTGCCAATAAATTCTGTAAGAGAAAAATAATCTTATCACAGTTCTTTTCCTCCTTTGCACTCGTTTTTGGTTGAGATGGTTCATCATAATTTACTTTCTTTGCGCCTGTTGAATGCCTGATAGCATTTTAGGAAGGCCGGTTCCTGTTGGTGCCTCAATGATATAATAGTTTGTTTTACTGCGTGCGGATGGCTAACAAGATTAGCGCAGGTTGCAACGGCAGTTCCTCAAAGGATGCAGGGGTTCAATGATCAAAATTGAAAAAATTTAAACACAAGTGAACCAACGCCTGGTAAATCTTCTGTCAGTAGATTCCATAAATTGGATACCTTGGGTATGCAGGGTTGTTACGATAAAAACATAAAATGTAGAAGGTCCAGTAACAACAACACTATAAGTGTTGTTGTTACTGGACCTTCTACATGTCACAATAAAAGATAGGACATTATTAGTGGTTTTTTGGAATGTTCAAGTTCAGCTAAGTGAAAAACGTCACCTGGAATAAATGTGATTGATAGCTTAAAATTCAGAACCAACAACCTGGTGTCATTTTTACATGACGGCAACTATAAAGAAGAATGCAGAATTTATATCAGGTTTTAAACAAAAATATATGTATAGTCGTACAATCTATAGACTACAAATGTATATATACAATGTATGTCTCATATTATTTATCTGCATGGCAAGTAATCCCCTTTCAGATTCTATGTCAATAGCTATTTTCTGATTTTTTCCCCTGATCGACACAGAATCCCAAAAGGGGTAATATTGTGAGTTGCTAGGGTTGAATTCCTTTTTGTCAGTGGGACTATAGTTTAGTGTAAACAATATTTTTATCATGTTTATTGTGAAAATAATAACAAACATTACAATATGACAGTTTTATTACGATTGGAAAACAAGTGGGGCAAGTTTGCAGGTCTTTATTCAGAGGGATCAAACTCCTTTCATCAGTCATGTCAGCAGGGCGAGTTGGTTAGTATTAGGTCAAGCTTGAAGAAACTAGGGAAAAGTGTCATGCAGTATGAATTCTAGTCACTTTGGCACCTAGTTAAATAGGCACCTGGTCTAATAGGCACCCAGTTTAGTCAATTTGGCACCTAGTCAAATCGGCACCTGGTTAATTCGGCACTGTGGTAGTTTTTTAGGCACTCAAAATAAACATTATGTTTTGCAAGTAAACCATTGAACTCTGTTTTTTCCATATTTTTTCAATATTTTCACTCGAGGTGTCCACAGAAGTTCTAATGGAAACTTTCTTATAGACAATGCCATAATATCTATATTTATCAGAACTTATATTATAAAGGAATTTCTTTTTCATGACAACTGCACATTGCTAGTAAACATACAACATTGGTGTCAGCGTTAATCATTTTATGCAAATAGACAGGAAAAGCTGGAAAAAAAAACAATTTAAATTACAATGATTAAATTTGTTTCTATCCTTATCCATTGTTATCTGTCTTCTTTGTTTAATTCCATTTTTTTTTTAATTAAAAAACAACAAAACTTACATGAAAATTGTTTGTAATTGACATTCTGCACCATTAGCCACTAGTCCGTTGCCCCAGACTACATGTAGTTAAATTTTATTCGGACTAGCAAGTATTTGCAAATATTTGTTTATAAACATGAGAAACTTGTCAGAATGTTGGTCTTCAGACTTGTAGTTGGAAAAGATTTTGGTGCAGACTGGTAATTGATATAAGTTGAATTTGTTCATAAGTAATTATAAGGCCTAACCACTCAATTTCTCAAAAACGTAATTGAGAAAATATTGAGAAAAATTCAAACAGAAAGCAGACTGTTTATTTTTTTATTGTGTATTCCAACTGCTTAATTATATGCGCTGATTTTGAATAATGTACGAAATTTATCTTTTAAATTAACCCTCGAAATTTGTACATGTCATGCATGTTGTATTCAAAAACATATTCTCCCCATACCTCATATAAAAAGGAAAAAAGGGTTAAAATATTATTAGGTGCCGAATTGATTTAACGAAAAACCGAAATGACTTTAAATAGGTGCCGATTTGACTAGATGCCGATTTGACCAGATGCCGATTTGACTTTTCAATAAGTGCCGAATAGACTAAGTGCCGATTTGACTTGTACCCGTACAGTATGTACCTACCACCATGCTTTTTCTCGATAACTTCCAGTTTGATTCCGCCTTCTTCGGCTGCAGCAAGCAGCTTAAGGGTATTTGAATTACCCTTGTCGGTATATAGCTTCATTTTCATTAAGAAAAAAGGAGAAAGTTTGCGGGAAAAATAGAAATTTCATCAGACATGAACCGGAAATACACGTGGTATGGTGTAAAAACCAAAACGAATGGGTTTCAGTTCCGAATACTCATGATCAAATGTCACAAGATCGTAACAATACACAGAGTCTCATAAACAATGGCCAAGGTTCCTGCAGAACGTCTAAGAAGACTGTTTTATTTTGTTTCCCCAAATGAAACTTCATTCGAGAAACTTGAGGACGTTCCAAAATATGTTGACGAGGCAGGTTTTCTTAGTTCTAGCAGTCAGGGGTACCATGGTTATTTACTTGAAGAAATAAATATTAATATTCTTATATAAGTAAATTTGTAGGATACTTATACAAGTGTATTTTATTTACTTGTATAGGTAAATTATTTTTTGGCTTAGTTATGTCCCTTGTCATCCTATCTTCTTTTCTTGAATTTCTACGAACTTCTTTGCTCTAATAGAATTTTTAATTGTCTGTCCTTTGCAGATGTCTTTACTAATCATTTGATTTTAAGTGTAATTTCATGGACAATGAAAATCTCATTTGTCTGTTATCTTCAGAACACTGTTCATTTTACAAGCCCCCAATGGGCAATTTTTGAAGGCCTTCCCAAATACTTAAGACCTTTGCTGAATTAATGAGATGAAACATTGAACTCTAATAAAAAATTATGGGCTAACCTGAGAAAAATTGTTAAAGGCATGTTTTTAATCTCTAAACTTGAGAATTTTTCAGGATTGTAAAAAAAATTTACTTATACAAGTAAATTTTTGAGAAAATTAAGGGGAGATTATTCAAACATTATAATTTACTTGTATTAGTATATTATTATTTACTTCTTCCAGTAAATAAAGATTACTTGTACAAGTAGTACCCCAGACTGTCTAGTATCTGTCCAAACAGATTACTATCAGACTATTTATATTATTGTATAACAGTCAGGACAGTAGTCTCAGGTTTTCCTGTATGCATACATGCCTGTTTAACATTGTCTCTTAATACTTATACCAACATATATTCAACAATGTGTCAATGAATCCAAATGAACTCTTACATTTATACCAACTTTTCTTATTTTGGTAAGATAGGGACTTAAAATTTGATACAGAGAGGGCTTCAAACAGGTGCAAGACAACTCGGCCTAAAGACAACTTTGACCATCTACAAAAAAGACAACTTTAACTGTCTATGAAGACAACTCCGACCATCTATGTAGGCAACTTGGGCCGTTTATAATGCCAATTGCAACTAGACAAAGTATGATAGGAAAGTTATGACTATGTAAATGATTTAATGAGTGTGTTCAACGGAAAAAGACATCTCAGACAAAAGAGAAAAGAGATATTACTGCATGAGCATTGATTAATTTGTTTAAGTTGTGTGTGTTTTTTTTTTTTTAGTTATTTTTGCTTTTTTTGTAGAATCATAAAAAATAAATTTGAACTGTGCACTGTTTCACCATCATCTTTCTACCCATAAAAATGCTACACGCCCCCACCCCCCAAAAAATATAAACTGCTGTCGGCAAATAATTTTTAAAGTTGACTGGTTTCGGATTTCTCGCTTCTTTTTGGATCGTAATGGCGAAACAATATAGATTTCATTTCTCGCCAAAATATTTCCAGAATAAGATCGTCATAAAAATTTTCTAAATGGAAACTTGTATATCAAATAATTAATAATGTGGCAGGAATATGGTTTCATTTCTTGTTGCGTTATTGTCAAATTGTAATGCACTAAGCAAATAAGAGAATGAGTTTTAAAAATTGTGTTACTTTTTTTATTTTAAATAAAAGTTAGTAAATATACAATTATTGTAATTGTCGAAGAGTGCCTTTATAATATTGATGGTCAGATTCCCTTTATTACTACTACTGCATTGACCCTTAGAGCATTGCGAGCCACTGATTTCTCAAACAGTTTTCAACAAAGTGATCTGAAGTTATTTTTTTCTTGTAGAATATATACAGTAGTTAAAGTGCAAAATGTCACGTAATTAGCAGAGACATATGTATTATATGTCTCTGTAATATGCTGATAAGTAACAAGAAATAATATTTCATGTCAACATTATAGTTTAAATTAAAATATGACATTAAAACTGCTCATGCTTTACATTTTTAATCCATTTCAAAATTGGTTAACTTTACCTTTCCTGTACCCCCTTTAGTCCATGCTTCTTTTTATCTTCCAAGTGCCTTACTGGAAAAACCTTTGTATATACATTGTAGTAAACAGACTGTTTGATGTTCAGTAGTTGTAGTTTGTTGATGTGGTTTATAAGTGTTTCTTGTTTTTTTTTTTTATTAGACCGTTGGTTTTCCCGTTTGAATGGTTTTACACTAGTAATTTTTGGGGCCCTTAATAGCTTGCTGTTCAGTGTGAGCCAAGGCTCTGTGTTGAAGACCGTACTTTGACCTATAATGGTTTACTTTTATAAAATTTGACTTGGATGGAGAGTTGTCTCATTGGTACTCATACCACATCTTCTTATATCTTGTTACTCTGCCTACCCATTGAATTTAGGTATCAATCTTAATTACAATGTCTGAGCATTGAGCAAACAACCAAATAAAGTTTGCAAGCAAGGCATTTTAACTCTTGATTTGCATGCTATATTATTTCAACTCTATTAAAGATTTTATTTAAAATATAGAATAACCAATATGAAGTAGAAATTAAAATTTACATTAAATTTGATTATCTTTGCACAGCACTTCATTTGCAAATGCAGCAAGATATAAAGGATACTTTTATTTATTAATATCATTTGGATAAGCCAATGAAATCTATAGGAGCTACATGTAGGTTGGAAATGTAAATTGCAAAAAAGGTTCAGCAAGACAAGATGTATCTACTGTGAAAATTGAAGAAAAATCAGTTGTCAGACATGTTTTGGAGTTCAATTGCTCTGAAATAATCAATGTTTGCAGTTTTTTGCTGTTATATATAGTGAAATACATAGGAGCTAGGTTAAAACTCTAAATTGAAAAATGAGTTATTGTCCCGGCCCTGAAATATATTTTTTCACTTTTTTTTGTTATTTTGAAAAGTATAGGAGCTAGATTAAAAAGTGTAAACTGCAAAAATGATCAGCATGACAAGATCTGTTTACTCTGATATTTTTTACTTTTCAGAGTTCAACCGATTTTTAAGTTATTGCCCCTGAAAAGTAGATTTTACTATTTTTGGCATTTTTGGCAGGTTAACTAAAAACCAGGGGCTAGATAAAATATGTAAATTGCAAAAAATGGTCCAGAACACAAAGAGTAACAATAGTATGTGCACTTCTAAAAGTCCTAACTAGCAAACTGGCAATTTGTTCACCAGGTTAGCAATACAGACACAGGTGTGCCTCTTGTTATTCAGTATTCATCATTTACTACATTGTAGCTTATACTGCATGTATAATTAAAATGTAGTATCTTATATCACATATAAGAAAAATGAGAAATGAGAGTTTGTTTAATTTCCAGTAACCCTTTTACAAGCTCATTGCAATTTTTTTTTTTTGACACCTTAATAGCTTTAGTTGGTATTCCCGTTTGAATGGTTTTACACTAGTAATTTTTGGGGCCCTTTATAGCTTGCTGTTCGGTGTGAGCCAAGGCTCCGTGTTGAAGACCGTACTTTGACCTATAATGGTTTACTTTTATAAATTTTGACTTTGATGGAGAGTTGTCTCATTGGCACTCAAACCACATCTTCTTGTATCTATTATAAATGAAATGATTTGAGTTTTAGTTATCTCCCTTGGATGCTCTTTTGAAGGTGAAACGGTTTGATCAAGGGCATAGTCGGCATACATGTTAGTTATACATCCTTGGTTTGAAATACTTATTTGAAATGAGATCCTTTAAAACAAGATGGAAGTAATGAAGAATGCAAGGCTTAATCAAAATAAAATTATTCAGAAAACGACTTTTTATAAATTACAATTATTATATATTTTAGTTCCATTATGTAAGATGACAAACACGTATTCATTCAACAAACTTTTAAATTTCAATGACATTCACATTTTATTCAATTTTCTTGTTCAAGTTTACTTCCATATAATGCATGTATACTTTCACTTTCTATTTATACTCACCATGGTTACATTGTGACGTTATTTATGCATACCCAATTTTGTACTTCATGCGCAATCCTCTGTATTGTTTTTATCCTGATGACGGTGCCTATGGCACAGAAACATGTAGATCAACAAATTTTCTGCAGCAGTCCCTAAAGTGTTGTTGTTATAAGACTTTCTACATTCTAAACTTTTTATAAAGTTTAGAAGTCATTGTAACAAGTTGAATTTCAGTTTATTTATAAAGTAATTTATACACATTGACATTCAACGTTAAGGCAAAGGGAAATAACTCTTACTCAAATTATGTCAAGAAAACAGTTGAAAGGAGACTGGGATTTATTTCCATTCACACCTTTTGAACAACACGTATTTTAATGTTGTATCTTGTATTAATTATGCACACCAATAATTACATATATTTAAATGTTTCAGGCAATACCATACTTTGTCTCAATGATAATAATAGAAGCAATTGTACTTTATATACAAGGGAAGCCATTACCAAGATTCAACGATGGATTTAGTTCTGTTGCAAATGGATTACTTTCATTAATGCATGGGTAATAAATACAAGCTTCCATAAATTTTTGAGATTTATCTAATATGTGAATTTCATGTGTAATAAAGTATTTTCTCTAATTCTTTGGCAATTGAACCCTCTCTGGACCCATTGTTTAAAAACATTTTATCAAGGTGTGGTTGCCGATGATCTCAGTAGATGAAGTTGACAGGTCATACCTTTACCAGTTCTTTGGATGAATCGAAATGTGCTAATAACTTTATATTTGAATGACGTAGAAATCAGGAATGTGGAAATCATTCGAATCAAATGAAAATTTATTTTATTGTAGTAAATAAGCCATTTTTTAAGACGTTTTTGAAACACGAAAACTTATTTGATAATCATTAGAGAAACAGATTCTTACATACATGTAGTAACTTGTGGATTACTGTGAAACGACTTTGATTCGTGGGTACCAAATTTCGTGGTTTGAGCAAAAATTACATATTCGTGGGTTCTTAAATTCGTGGATTTTTAGTATTCTGAAGGAAAAAGATTGTTGTTATATTTTGTAGGATACTTAAATTCGTGGATAAAGCAATCCACGAAAACCACGAAAATTGGTACCCCAGGAATTAAAGTACTTTCACAGTATCTGATTTATCCAATCTCAATAGTTAAATTATCGAATTTAACTATCTGGTTTGGATAAATCAGATATTCCACTGGTACCAATGTAAGACACTGTATGTATGTGAAGTTTCACATAATTGCCCAGCTCATGATCATTATATGTGCATGATATATGAAGATTTAAGCATTTTGAAGAAGTAGAATCATCATACTGTACAATATTTAGTATTTTCTATATCAATTTTTGGAGATTTGAACGTTTTGAAAAATGTATACCAGTACATAGAATCATCATACAGTACAATTTAAGTATCCTAAATATTATTTTTGTAAGTTTAAGATAAAAGCATGATATCTGATGAGAAAAATCGTCTCTGCATTAAATGATGCTGTTGTTTGATATTGTCAAGTTGACAGGCATCAAATAGAGTTTAGTATAAAGTTTTTGAAGACCAAAAGAAGATGTGGTTGCCTATAATTGCTTAAATCCTCTTCATTTGAACTTGGGTGGATAGTTGTCTCATTGGCAATCATACCACATCTCCTTATTTTTATATATGTGAACATGGGGGTACTTTTCATGTACAACTGACTTCAGTCATGATTTACATAGATTCATGTGAAAATAAGAAGATGTGTTATGATTGCCAATGAAACAACTCTCCACCAGAAACCAATTGACGTAGAAGTTCAAAGCTATAGGTCACCATACAGCCTTCAACAATCAGCAAAATCATTACTGCATAGTAAGTTTTAATTCATGCATGTTGTCAGTTGTGAAAAAAATCTATCGCTATGTTAGATAAAAAAAATCAGCTGGTAATATTTGTTTTACAGAGATCATTTCATTGCCTGTTCCATGATTTTATTGTAACATTTGAACAAGTAGTAAATAAAGCTCATATAACTTTATTGTCTACATTTAAACAAACAAACCTTTATCTATTCTTTGTACTTTGTTTACTTTAAAATAGATATGCAGTAAAATGCAGTTCTAATTGGATGTAGCCATATCATACTCTGATCAGATTTTAACTTTATATGAGAAAACATGGTGTAATTTCTCCTTTCAAGTTTTGTCTGCAATAGAAATGCATTGTTTTGTTCCAATTACTAGATTTATGGAAATTTATGTAGATGGTATTATAAAAATAAGAAGATTTGGTATGATTGCCAATGAGACAACTCTCCGCCGGAGACTAAACGATGTAGAAGGTTAGTTATTATAGGTCACTGTATGGCCTTCTACAATGAGAAAATCCCATACCGCATAGCAAGCTATAAATAACCCGGAAATAACAAATGTAAAACAAGAAAACAAGAAAACTAACAGCCTGATTTATGTACAAAACAATAAACGAAAAACAAATACATGTATGATAAACAGAAACAAACAACAACCTTTGAATTACATGCTCCTGACACAAGACATGTTTGGTTTCTTACATGAAACTTAATGTTATCACTTTTATTTTAGGTTGCTGTTCAGATCAGTAGAGGTGTCTACTTATGTATGGTTTTATGAGAGGTTTAATTTGATACAGTTACCGTGGAACAACCCGTGGACATGGGTCCTCGGAATGGTTGGTGTGGATTTCTGTTACTACTGGGTTCACAGATGGGGACATGGTAATGACCTTGATAATAATGTCATCCTGGGTAGATTCATACATCCAATGCCATGAAAAGTGCAGAAAATACACCATCATCTCTTGCCATGCCCAAAATCAAGTTTTGTTCAGAATATCAGTACGGAAAAGAAAATAGACGAAATATTTTAGCCACTTGTCAAACATTTACTGTGAAAATGTATATCAGTCTCCAAAAATAAAAAGTGCAATGATTTCACAACAACAGTATATTTATATAACCTTCTTTAACAAGTTAGTTAAACAAAATAGGAAATATTTGAAGTATGAATCTTATACCCGTTTGCTTTGTTAATACTATTTCCAGAAAAAAATGAGTGCAAAATGCTACTTTTATATTTTTGTTTGAAAGTAGAATGATACATTGTACATCTACATAAAACCATACTGTGGATTCATTATTTTTCATGGGATACCAATTTTTATACCACTGCAAAAAATTTTGTGGTCGTATATTGGTATCACGTCATCGTCGTCAGCGTCGTTCGAAGACATTTGGTTTCCGGACAATAACTGTAGAAAATGTAAATAGAAATCTATGAAATTTATCCAGCTGTGCTCGGCGAAGCAATTTATTTTGTATAAAACTGTCATAATTATTTTAGTTTGGACTATTTTTTTTTTAAATCAATCCTTAAAGTTTATGAAATTCTATTGATTCCTTCCAACCTTGCTTTAAACAGAAGTGAACATAATTTGGGCAGCACACCAAACCCATCACAGTTCAGAAGATTATAACCTGACCACAGCACTAAGACAGTCCTGCATACTTAAGTATATTTCTTGGGTAGGTTAGTTATATATTACAGAGATTGAAACATTGAACCAAACCAATTTAATCTGAAAGTTGGTACATTGTTAAAATGACACTTATTGTACTAATTTCTGACATACATTTTTTGTACTAATTGTTTTTTCAAAGTAGTTGAAAAACCTTTGACCAAATAAAACATATCTGTTCTTTTTCCTTCCAAAAATTGCTAATATTTTGATACAAAATTCTAAATTTAAAACTGATAAATGACATGACTTATCTCTCAATTTTAGTGATGTAGAAAAAAATGTAAATTTTTAATGAAATTTGAATGCAAGCGTTTCATTGTGAAATGTTGATCATAAGGGGATATAACTTTCGTATAAATGTACATTAAATTTCAAATGATCTTCATTTAAATATAATACAGAATTGTCAATGTTCTTCATAATTTGAAGTCCAATTGAAAGTGGAAATAATGAATTATAATTTGTTTCAAGTTTGTCAAGTAGTCATTTATGAAATATTGAATTGGGAAAACCAGATTGATTCTTATCTGTACTGCTTATAAGAAAGTGTAAATATTTGAATAATTATCAATTTTTTATTTATCAGGTGTTTTATCTTCCTATGGCTTTATGCGTGCCACCATCAATTTTCCTGGTGCATGCCCAGTTTAGTCTCCTGTACCAGTTCTGGATACATACAGAGGTAATTAAATTGATATTTACATTTACAGTTCAGTAGTCATGTTGTTGTTTCTTGCTTTATGATTCTAATTTAACTTTAATTCAAGATGGATGAGAATCTAGCATTTACTTTTTTAAATTACATGTCGTAATCAATTGACCTTGTTGTAATTATACCCTGCTTTGAAAGGAGGTCATCTACCTTTTTTTATGTCTGTCTGTGTGTCTGTTACTACAAATCAGAGCATCCTGAAATTTGGTATCATGATTATGTAAGCATGCTTTACTGTGTGAATGGTGCATTAAAATTTACTTTTAATCTGAACATTAATATCATAGTTTACTACAATTGAGTTAGGAGAGACAATGGTATTTCAATTGAAGTAAGTACATTGTCATTCTGCCTGTAAATTCAATAGTCCCTCTTCCGAGTGGTCTTAGAAGTTCACTTACAGTATCACTAGCCTGTCAGCACTGAGGTGAGTTCCAACACCGCAAGTGGGGGTACCTTAAACTATGATCTTTTATCAACTAGGATTGTCAGTTTTCCTGCCGAAGATTGTGGTTTTCTTCAGGCACTCCAGCTTCCTCCACCAATAAAAATTGTCTGCCAAGAAATAGCCAATAGTGCTGAAAGTGGCTTTAAACACCAAAAAATCAATCAATCAATCCTTCTCAAAATGAACTCATTATGATTTAATGCTTATTGAAATCAACAACAAAAAAGAGGTGAAGGATACCAAAGGGACATTCAAACTCATAAGTCAAATTACACTATATTAAAGAGGATCATAGAGTCCAATTTGAAATTTCATAAACCACTGAAGTTGTTGACATCATATTTGTTAATTTGTTAAATTTGAAAACACCTTTAAAGAATTTAATTGCATGGGCGTATTTTATTTCAGACAATTAAGAGCATTGGTCCATTAGAATGGATTTTGAATACTCCAAGTCACCACAGAGCCCATCATGGTAGAAACAGACAGTATATAGATAAAAACTATGGAGGAACACTCATTATTTTTGACAGACTATTTGGTAAATATTTATACACAACTTCAAACATCTAGGGAACTGAAAGCAGAAATTTCACTTCAGCAAAATACATATCTGGAATATGACTCATCTTAGTATAATCTACTGTAAATTCTGAAATTATTGTGGTTATTTGGAGAATGGTTGAAAATGGAAGATTAATCATTGTGATTTCTAGAAAATTTGCATACAGATATATGTATCAGATATCAGACTGCGAGTTCTTTAGTATTGCGATACTCACCCAGTTGCATTATTTGCATTACATAATACAAACCTTGAAATAATTTCTGAATTTGCAGTATTTTCATTAATATGGAAAATTCTACATCCATTCAACTTTGAATAGAATATAATGTATTGAAAAATATTTCATGTGTATTCAGGACGATGTTCCTTCCTGTAAATGAAATATACATGAATAGTTTCTTAACAAACAGTGATTTTCAAAAGCACCACTGATTTTATTTGCTGTATGGCATTTAAAAGAAGTTGCTAAAACAAGGCAAAAGTAAATATTACTTTCTGGGTTTTGGAGTCAGATCACTTTATATGGATTCTAACTTATAGCTACTAATATGTAACAGAAACATTTTTAGTTATTTATTCTTTCGTGAAGGAATCTTTGTGTTTGGTTGTAGATTAATAACATGCAATAAGAATGTTTTTTAATTAATTTCATGAAAGGTGCAGTTTTGTCAGGTATAAAATTGCCACTGACCAAGTCAACATTATATCCCTGGACAGGGACTAATCTATCTTCCAAATGACATATATAAAATGATTAATTGCTTAAAAAGCTGGTCTTTCTTCTTTACATTATTGCATTAATATTTGATATGGTTTAAAATGTGATAGTAATCTTCAGTAGAATAACTATCATATAAAACTATTTTTTTCTGATTTAAAATTTCTTGTTTTGCATTGCACTCTGATGTTTCAAAAATAGGTCTCACTGAGAGTAAATGTAAATCTTCCAATGAGCTACCCAGAAAATTTAACATGGCTTTAAATTTGATCACAGGCACTATTTTACACAATATTTGAGCTTTTACATTTACATTCAGAAAATCATTAGGTTTTTATGTTATCATAGGTACATTTGAAGCAGAAAAAGAAGAAGTTGTTTATGGTCTTGTACATCCTCTAGATTCCTGGGGTCCTATTCATTCACAGGTAAGAACTATTGGTTATTTGTAGAGAAAGTTCTCTTAAATTACAGATCATGTGATGAAACAGTACAACCATTCAATAATGTATGCATTATATGAACCATTTGTTGTTGGTCGTCTGTTGAACAAATTCTGATAATTTATGCACTGACATGAAATAGCTAGGATGTATAGCCCTAGTTGCTGGTATAATTCTTAAAACAACAACAATCTACTCCTCTAACTTTATTTCTCTCTTGTTTGCTGGTACAAGTATTTTTATATAATTTGGTATATAGGTTCATAATGGGGCCTTTTATATCTTTCTATATGGTATGGGTTTTGTTCACTGTTGAAGGTCATAGAAGGACCTGTGCTTATTTACAATCTTGTCCTTAATTCTTTGGGGAATAGTTGTCTCACTGGAACTATTCCATTACAAATTTTTTTTTTAACTATATATCAAAGGTATATATCAGCAATGTTTTGAACGTGATTGAAAAGTAGTACCATCAACTATTTTTACAGGAATTATGTCCCTTTAAATTGTTAATTTAAAAGGAAAACTGCATTGTAAATACTGTCACATCTACATTTCTTGTTCGATTTTTATGAAATCACATAATGCCTATTAAGTATTTTTACAGAAACTACCCCTTTGAAATGTAATTTTCATGGAAAACTGCATTGGAAGCACTTTCCCGCCTACATTTCTTATCAGATTTTTATGTTATAAATTCATATGAAAAGTTCATATTAGCAAGGTACTCTTGTGATATTGAAATTTTTTTTTATTCAGTATGGTTACAAAAGTAAAATATTGATTTTGTCACCTTTATAATAAGAAGGCTTCCTTTTCTATTGTTTCTGCTTCACCTGTTTACACATTGATTCACTAAAAATGTCCAAAGTAAGATCATAAATGAGTTTCTTGAACCCTTGGCTAGCCTACTACTAGCCTCAAAAAATTATGCAGACAATAATTTTTTTTTTTTTATTTCAATATTATAAAATTTGTGCTTGGGACTAGATTTTTATGATTGCCAAAAATTTATACTGGACATTCAATGATGTTTTGTATTGTTCTTTTTTGTAGATATGCCATCTTCAATACATGATGAAAACTTTCATGGAAACTCAAGGGATTGGAAACAAATTATCAGTTATTTTTAAAGGTCCTGGATGGTCTCCAGGGAAACCAAGATTAGGACTGAAAGAAGATATACCTATGGTAACATTTAGATAAGGGATTTAATTTTAAAACCATGTAAAATAGTGCAATTGCAAGTATACAATCAAACATGTGTTAATAGAATGTATAGATATTCATTAATGCTATTTCAATAGTATACACCTATTGACTGGATATGAGGGTAATAGCAAGTTTGTTGTCCCTGAGAGACCAACTATTGCTTGAGGCGAAGCCGAGGGCAATAGTAAGTATCAAAAGGACAACAAACTTGCTATATCACTCATAACCAGTCATTAAGTGTTTTATTATACCGAACAAAACAACTTTCTAAAAAGACTACATGTATACACCACTTGGAAAAACACCAAATAGTCACATAGACATGCACAAGATTAACTTTCAGGTTTTTTTTTTGCCCGTGTGGTATTTGTCAATATTTACTGTAATTAAGACCAGGAATCCTTGTGTACAATTCCCGTGCATATAATAAACACTAGCTTAGCTAAACTATTTTACCATACACCAAAGCAATCCCAGATTATGAATACGACGACATACCCATACCATGAATTTGTTATGTTTTAGTTCTTAAAATATGTCGCGTAGATTTTCTTTTTCTTTTTTTATTGCTTCTGGTAAGTAATATATAAATTTGAAATTACGACGACAGACACATACAGATTATACCGTTTACGATATTTCAGAGTTTAACGTTGCCAACCGCACAAATCCAAGCAGAATAGTCAATGACATCATTGTTGTCCAATGAAAAATTAGTATGAAAAAGTCCGGGAAATATGTTCATAAAACTATTGACCTGGGTAATAGTCTTTGAAACTATTGACTGGCAAATAGTCTGTGGTATGAAATAGCACAAATATTTCATTCTTTTTTATATAGAAAAAACATACTGAGGTATAATAATTTGATTTATTTATACTATTGTCAGAAAAAAATGACTCTTGGAAGTAAATTAAAAAAAAACATTTTGCCTGTTTTTATTGTTTTCACTATGTTCATGATGATACATTGTGATAACGGCCATTAAATCCTAATTTGAATTATAAGCTAGAAATAGAGGCCATTTTGGGGCCTTATCCATCTACTCCTTTATTCTTGCAGCAACATTGCCAATGTGTACTGATCCTTTCAATCAATCAACCAGTCAATACCTGCACCTAAATGACACACCCTGTCAATTGCTGTTTTATTCTTTTGCAGTGTAATAGTGAAAAGTGAATAATGTGTGGAGTTTTATTACAGGTGTCAGCTCCAATGCCAAAGTTTGAAGGACCCATGTTACCAACGTGGATGAATGTGTACATATGGGTACATTTTGGTTTACTTATTGTTGGGTATGATGTCTTGGCTCATAGAGACCCGGTAAGAAGAATCATCTTGATACAGTTTTGTGCATGTCAGAGATGAAATGTATATTTTTTCACAGAAACGTAGAAAAGATTTAAATATCTTTAGGGATTTTTTTTTCATTCTGCACAACACTTCATTACACAGTCTAGTTTTGAGAGTTCTGGTTTTTTTTTCATGGCGCTTCTGAAAAAAATCACAAACATTCAGGAACGAATTAACACACTGTGGCAGTGTTCTCCCTACGAATTTCATATAGCATCCTGGTAAACGACAAATTATAAAAAATATGTTTCTAGAAATTATAGCATCACATCCATAACATTATCTGTCATGTCTTTAAGAAAATCATTTCAGATGGCATCACATTCAAGCAATAAAGCATAAAATATATCTTGAGATAACACTGTGTGACAAATAGTTATAGTTGAGTCAGCTTAGTCTTTTTTGTAAATGATCAGTTTAATGCTGGTATTAAGTTGTATAGGAGAAAGGCTATTGCGGTCTTGTAGACTTTTACCACTTAAACTGATCAGCATTTCAGAATTTTGTAAAAGCACTGAATGAATTAAAATAAAATTGAGAATGGAAATGGAAATGGGGAATATGTCAAAGAGACAACAACCCGACCAAAGAGCAGACAACAGCCGAAGGCCACCAATGGGTCTTCAACGCAGCGAGAAAATCCAGCACCCGGAGGTGGTCCTCAGCTGGCCCCTAAATAAAATTGTGTACTAGTTCAATGAAAATGGACGTCACACTCAACTCCAAAACATATAAATGAACTAAAATTAAAAAACATACAAGACTAACAGGCCAGAGGCTCCTGATTTGGGACAGGCACAAAAATGTGGTGGGGTTAAACATATTTTGTGAGATCTCAACCCTCCCCCTTATACCTCTAGCCAATGTAGAATAAAGAAACACATAACAATACGCACAGTAAACTTAGTTGTAAAGAAGTTAAAAGTTTGCTTTGTTTATATTTTATGTTGAATAACCGTGACATTTTATTTTATACCTTATTTATCTTTGATTAAAAAACAAATTTATTTTTTTTCAGAGCATGAATGCGTTTAGTGTGGTATGCTATATTTTGTATATAATTTATTGTCTAGAAGTTTTTGGAGCCCTTTTTGATGCAAGGTAAGAAAAGAAAAAGAAAAAAAACTCAGCTAACATGTAAACATTACATGGCCTTCAACAATTCTTAAAATTATATAAGCATATTATCACAAGGAACTGCAATTTGGAACAAAAGAAAGTTCATTAATTGTAGAAAAAGAAGATATACATGATATTTGTAAATAAATGCATTTTTTATGGGTTGTTTAAGGTGGAAAAATGAAATGCACAAATAAATGCATCTTTGATATTTTAAATTGCATTGGACTATACATTATATTAATAAAACCACAGGGGGTCTCAACATGGGATTTGGGTACAGATGTGCGGCTGGGATTTCTAAACAAGATATCAAGATTTGCCATTTCCAATTTCTATCAAAATTAACAGATGACTCCTTACATGTATCATTGCCCTAAGATAAAGATTAGACATATTTTTGTATTTTTTGTTTATTACCTCGAAAACTTTAAAAGGCAGGTAGAAACTGTACCCAGCAAAACAAAAATTCTAACATGACCATTGGCCAACTCCTTAAAGGAGTTATTGCCTTGAAATGATAATTTTTGACAAATTTTCAAGCCTATTATCTTGAAAGTTCTAAGGGAAAACGATGCTGTAAACAGCAAAAATTATCAGCTATACAAGATGTACAAAAATGCCAATATGACAGAAACCATTGGATGACTCCTTATATGAGTTATTGCACATAAATGACGGTTTTTGACTAATTTTTAGGTTTTTGCCCATTATCTTAAAATAAAACATATCAGTAGAAACTGTAAACAGCAACAATGATAAGTAATACAAGATATATTTGTGACAGGTGAGCAGTTCAGGCTCTTAGGAGCCTCTTGTATTTAAATGCTGTAACTTAGATCCTATTGTTCATCAATAACCATGAAATTTCTTCATTTCTTTATTTTCAGGATGATGGCATCATACATGGAGTTATTTAGGTGTTTGTGTTTCATCATTGTCTGTAAGGCTAGAAGTCCTTTAGTTGGAGTGTCTTGGACATTTACTTCTGTAGTTTATTGGATTTATATAGGATCTGCAATATTGTGGGGTTATTTGTCATTCAACCAGTCTACAACAAAAATTAAGAAGGCTTTGTAATTCCATATACTTAAAGCAAAATTGTCTACTCATGTTGGTGCTTATGATAATTCACTCCACATATTATGATCACGGTATAATTTACTTATGAAAGGATTTTTGTCTCGCCCTGACAGAGTCAAAAAGCTAGACTTAGGTATGCTGTTTCCGGCGGTGGCAGCAAGGGTTTCAACAATTTGTTAAAGTTTGTGATTAGGTCCGTGTCAGGGGAACTACTAATGGTAAAACAATGATATTTCGTATGCAGGTGTATAAGCATTTGCAAATATCATTGCCATGGAGATTATTTGGCCCTGTCCCCCTCAGTCATGGTCTATTGACTTTGAAACATTTGTTTAGTTTACAGATTAAAGTTTGTGATTAGGTAAGTTTAAGGGGAACCACTTATGGCAAGTCAATGATATTCGGTATGCAGTTGAAAAAGCATTGGCACATTTCATCTCCATGGAGATTATAGATTATATGCCCCCCCAGTCATGGTCTATTTACCATAACATGTATAGTTTACATGTTACAGTTTGTAATTAGATCAGTAAAATGACATTTGGCAGGCAGTCTCCCCTTAACATTAAACTAGGCATATCTTATTTCCATGGAAATTGTTTGGCCCTAAACCTTTGGTCATGGTTCATTGACTTTGAATAGTTTTTCATAATTTACATGTTAAAGTGATGTTCTTTTAATTTCAACATTTTCATTTTACTATCAAAATGACAAACAGGCGAGACATATATCTATGTCAACAGTATATTAATCTAAAGGACAAGCATACAGATTAAGTAGTCAATGTCTTGATTTTTTATTTGTATGTACACACAGTTCTGTAGCATATCTACAAAGGACTAAAATTTAGTATTTTGAATAAATGCTTAGTATTGGTATATTTCAATAGCTATCCTCATCAACAACGTTAAGTTAACCTTTCAGTTTGTCTGCTACAGTTTAAAATGTCATATCTCAACTTATTCTAATTATTGTGAACAAAGGCAAAATTATGTCAGACCAAATGGATAAAAATCACAATTCTAAACTGCTTATAGTACTTTTCACAAGCAAAATTTCAGTTGAAAAAAAGTTCAATTAATATTTACCTTACCTTACCTTTACATTGAACATAATTTCCATTTTTTTTTTCTCTAGAAAGCGAATAAATATTTTAAAAACGGGCACTGTGATTTTTGTGAGCACAATAGCAAGTTTGTATTATTTCTTTTGTCTTGACCTCTTATTTTTTTATATCAGGGAATTTTTTCAGATAGTTTATAATCAAAGCTCTGTCAATAATGTGAGCCAGCCAATCTGACAGTCACAAAAAAACAGATTTTCTATTCATGTTATATATATATACATTAAATCATTTCTTTACAAATGTATTATTCAAGGCAGTTATTGGAAGCTCTTTTTCATGTTTTGAAAGGTGTAACCATGGGCCTTATTGAATATTTTCTTACTCTTGTAGATTTTATCCTAGCAGAATTTTGTAATTCAGATAAAGCCCAAACAATGGTAAAGTAAAAATATATGTCAGCTGTGCTTAATTTTGGATCTCAAATCGAATTGTCTCCCTTTGACCTTTTTTTTAAATGTGGTAAATCAGTTATTATATCAATGAACAGCTTGTACTGAATTTAATTCCATTACTCTCACAATATAAGATAATGATAAAATAGTATCATGATTTCTTATCAACTATTTAAAAATGATATGTTACCTTTTTACTTCAAATCATAAAGATTAATATTTATTTAAACAAGCATATGTAATCAAACATGAATTTGTTGTCTTCACTATAAAAGTAAACTTAATTTTCCATTTAAGGAAAAGTTGCATGAAAGAGTTGGTGGTAATAGATTCAAAGGTGTTTATACTTTTCTGCAAATCATTTACATATCCCCTATGGCTAGAATTCAAACTTCTGTCCCATCTAATAATCTCAAAATGTTGACCTATTTTTACAGAATTATTACCATTGACCCTTTACATATGCCATCTAGTTGCATGAACACTGATTCTCATGAACTGATTAACTATAAATTATTATCTATTTATGTCTATACTGTGATATTTTTAACAATATTTATATTTTTTTAAGATAATTGATTTTATTCATATGCTATTACCAAATAACATTTTAAGTTAAGTTTTATATTTGAAATTTCAAAGTGTTAAAGTTATTATGTGTACTTTTGGTCAATGATCATATTAAGATGTATGAGATTAAATTGTTATTTTTAATTGTGTATTCCAATTATATGTGATAAAAGTTTGTGCAATAAAGGAAATTTAAAATCAAGTTTAAATTAGTTGTTTCATATTATTTTTTACATGTCAACGAATGGATACAGGATAGATCCTAAGTGATTGGCATAGGTCACACTGGCACTTTGGGCTGGTGTTTATCTTACAAAAGAATACATATATGTATAATTTGTTGCTGGACATAAGGCAGCCATCAGTTAATCATTTAAATTTTTACATACACACACTTATGATATGAAGTGTGCTTAAATGAATTTATGCAGTACAAGAACATAGTCCAAAACAGTCATGTATTCCCGAAATTGTCCGGCCTGAAGCCTGAATCGGATATCTACTTTTAGTTTTTAAGGCTTTCTTAAGAGACGGTCATTTTAACATAATTAGAAAAAAAATGGTTTATGCGATCTTTTTGATCCGACCATTTGCCTTAAACAGCCACACATTTCCGGTCATAAAAGTGACATGATGAATAAGTACTACCAAAACAAACCCTACTTTAATACCTTCTCATTTTAATCAAGGTGAATTAGTTGTCAGACAGCTGAAATGTACCTGTTCAGGCGACAGGTAAACTATTTTGTATCGGACATTGATCAGTCTATTCAAAGTTATTTTCTTACATTTCAGCGGTTTGCATCTATAAATTAATTTAGTCAAAAAGATTGAAATTATCAGAAATAAGTTTATAAATATGATTTGATGAAAAATTAAAAACGTTTTAAACGAAAAATTGTCAGAACCATGTTGTTTGAACTAGTACACGTGTGCCCATGTGCGCAGGCAGGAAATTTAATTATGCATCCTAATTCTTCAAAAATGCTAAAATTATCATAGATACTTTTATTTAATGTTCATTTCGAGTATTTTCTAGAAAAAATAACATGGAAATAGCTACTAAAACTCAATCGTGCTTTGTAAACGTACACAGATTTTACGTATCAGTCCCTGGTCCGTGTTTTACCAACATCCGGTATTAGGAAAATGTGCTTTTTAGTCCCCTACCAACGAAGTCAAAGGGGACTTTAGGTTTGCACTCCGTACGTCTGTCCATTTGTCCATCTTTCCGACTGTCCATCCGTCAGTCCGGCAAATCAGCTTTCCACACTTTTTTCTTCGTTCTTGAAGATATTGATTTGATATTTGGTATATAGTTTTATCATGACAAGTTATAGATCAAGTTCGAATTTTGTTCCGGTCTGATGATTTTGTCCAGAGTTATGAACCATAACTCTGGACCATATCTAATGTTAAGAGTACTATGTTAAACTATATTTCTGTACAAAGGGAGATAAATCATTTTTTTAAAGACATTCTTTGTTAAATTATTTGAAGAATTTTTTGACAGGTTTGTTTTTTATTTAGTATAAACTAATTTTCTGAATGCTGTATATATCAAAAAAAATTATGAAGAGAAATCCTTTAATTAGATAATAATCTATTTTTATTAATGTATATATTTCAATACATTACATTGTGTAGATAAAAGTTGTTGACATTTTATAGATAAGTTACAAATCTATATTAGTTTGTGACAAATGAAAGAAAAAAATATTTGGAACTATTAATTATATCTGATTATAATTTGAAATAGATATACATTGTATTACATCATATCTAATTCTAGAGAACTATTAATCATATCTAATGTTTTTTTCATCATGCTTTAAGATATTGATTGATAATTGGTATATAGTTTTATCATGACAAGTTACAGATCAAGTTCAAATTTTTGTTTCGGTCTAAAAATTTTGTGCAGAGTTATGGTCCTTGGACTTGAAAAATTCACACATATCATCAGTTTTCAACACTGTTTTTAGTCATGCTTGAAGATATTGACATGATATTTACTTTTTGTTTACACCATGACAAGTTATAGAACAAGTTAGCATTTTGTTCCAGTATAATGAATTTTTACCCGGTAGGGGACTATGTATTGCCATGCAATACTCTCAGAATGCTTGTTAAAAACAAAAGTAAAGTTTTTGACAACATAATTTTGCACAAATAAAGAGTCTAAGGCAGATATTAGTACGCTGATGTTGCACACTTGGAATGATGCACTGTCAATTTAACAGTCTACGTCAGAACATCGAATTTATGTCAAAGTAAAGTTCAATATCGTTTTAATGTCAATCATTAATTATATGATGGCCAACTGATTACCATAATTGCCTTTTGTTACTACGTCTTAAGGGATTAAAATTGGGATAAGACATAAATGGCCGGCTGGCTCAGATATTTTTTGGAAGCCCTGGTCCAGACAGTATGTAAATTCATATATCAGCTGTGTCCTTGACTGTCTTGAAATGACCCGTATTCAAGGTCATGAAACCTTGAGATAATACCAGCAGTTGTATGAATTATGACTTCTATAAAGACACTACTAAGAAATGACCCAGTCATGTAAATATGGGACAGACCTTCAAGACAAATTTTTATACTTGTATAACTTTTTTTACAATTGGTTAGCAGACAGGTATAATGTGATGAAGATATGTTTTTATTTTGACCTCCTACAAGATTTTGGTGACTTAGGAAATAAATTTATTATAATCAAAATCAGTTACATAACAAATAATAAGGTCCAATAGTTCTTTCTAGTAATGTCATGACTTCTTCAGTGGAACAATATTACATCTGAAAGTACAAAACATAGTTCAATTATTTAAACAATATTCAAGAACATTAAACAAAGTTTATAAAATGTTGTTAAATCAAATCATGCAAATCAATATTCACACCCTTTTGGTGATGTTATATTTATGATATCAAACTAGTATTTATCTCGCAAACAAGTTCTGTTAACCCTCAACACCATCCGTGCACTACATTCTTCATTTGGCTATTAAATGTAAACATGCAGTGAAATTCAAGTCTTCAATTTATTATCTCCCCTTAACATAAAATTAAGTTTCCTTCTTTCCCTTCTGTTTGTGTTAAAATTGATTGAGAAAGAAAAAATGCTTGATTGTACACTATTTTTCTTCTTTAATGAGATATGATCAAGATTATTCTTATAACTTGTGTGATAGACTTGTTGAGATGTTGAAAGACTGATTTAAAGTTTTTACTGATAAGTCAGCCAATACATAAAAAAGTTACACAATTCTTGTCCGAGATTACTTTAATGGAGCCAGGAGCTTGTAATTCAGTGGTTTTACTTTGATGATGTATATCATATTTGTTTTTCAATTATTGTTTTGTACATAGCTTGCGGTATTGGTTTTGCTCATTGTTGAAGGCCATAAGTTGACCCATAGTTGCTAACTTATACGTCGTTCGGTCTCTAGTGGATAGTTATCTCTTTGGCATTCATATCACATCTTCTTATTAGTCCCCTACCACCGAAGTTGAAGGACACTTTAGGTTTGCACTCCGTCCGTCTGTCTGTCTATCCATCCGTAAGTCTGGCAAATCAGTTTTTCACACTTTTTTTCTTCGTGCTTAAAGATATTGATTTGATATTTGGTGTATTGTTAAATCATGACAAGTTACAGATCAAGTTCGAATTTTGTTCGGGTCTGACGATTTTGTGCAGAGTTATGGTCCTTGAACTTAGAAAATTCACTCAAATAATCAGTTTTCCACACTTTTTTTTGTCATGCTTGAAAATATTGACTTGATATTTGTTAAATAGTTTACACTATGACAAGTTATAGATCAAGTTAGCATTTAGTTCCAGTACAATGAATTTTTAACGGGTAGGGGACTATGTATTGCCAGGCAATACTCTCAGAATGCTTGTTTTTATAGAGTTTTCTCCCTTTGTCACAGAAAATGCAACATACAAAATGATCTTGTTAATTGAGAAGAAAGTTATTTACAGATCCTGGTAAGTTAAACTTTAAAGATATGAAACAGTTTTATAAAAGAAATCTTCAAAAGTAAATATAATTGTAACATTTCAAATTATTATTATTATTAGTCTTAGACAGAGGACAAGGCAGAAAAATTTCAAACTGCTAAAAAATGGAATTACCAATTCTTAAAGCGAAAAAATAGTTTTAGAGTAGTATTTGTGATGTTTAATCATTGACCAACCAACATGTGTCACTGAAACATGTTTTAGTATAGACATAAAGATACTGAGCAATTTTAGCCATGTTTGTTTAAATACCCTAATAAGCCTTTTCCACTCCATGTGCTAGGTGTTAAAGATAATCGAACATCAGTGTTGCTCCTAGATACCATTAACGTCAGTGGTTTCTGAAAGAAATATAAAATTTTCATTTACATTTAGAATAATGATAATTCGAAACCTTGAATTGTCTTAACTTTAAAAATTCAAACATATCAAAGGAAGGCCAACTCTGTCATTTGTTTATACATTGATGTTCTGGTCAAGAAAATTCTTCTTTAGTTTTCAGACAGATAAAATTGTTCATATAAACAAGAAAATTAACTAAATAACTCTGCTTTTTAAAAGAAAATCAGAAATAAGAATTTTGCAGTTCTGTCCCATGTTGCACATTAAGGCAAAAGTAAATCTTTTTTTTTTTTATTTTATTTTATTAAATTCTTAAATTTTTTCAGTAGATCTCAATGAAGATTATCCATCATAATATTCTATTTTAAAATTTCTTGGTGATCCATTGGCATATTTCCCATTTTATTCTTGTTGCCTTGTGCAAGTTACCCTGCTTGACATAATGTATATAACTTGTACAAGCCTAGTAGCTAGTGAAAAGACCATATGTTGATTTTGAGTTTTTGTGTCATTGTGTTGCTGGTTCGTTGATTCCCCAAAACTCCTTTTATTGATCAGAAATTATTCCTTTATTGTCATTTTTTTCTGATTTTTTGAAATTGACAAGGAAAACCTTTTTTTTAAGATGATCATGAAAGCACTTCTTATTTCTTACTAACTTTTCTTATTTTAACATTATAATTCTGTAAATTAAGAAATTAATGTGTGCATTTATTATTGCGAATCACTGATCACTGGTAAAAATGTAAGATCTAATTAATGCGATTGCAAACATTTTGTGAAGGAAAATCACTATTGAAATTATAAATGCAAGTTTTTATTATTGCAAACCTG